ATTATTTACGGAAGATAAATCAACATCACGACGTAATTCCAGAAGGCTATCGGCAAAAAAGGAAAGTGAGAGAGCTCGACACCGGCAAAATGCACGAGAATGATAGGGATAGAACAGCATAGGGGTCGCACGCGTACCGCTTAAAATGTCAATCATTCAGACCTACAACTACGCCGGCGCGTTTGGCTTGAAAAAAGTACGCTCCTTCCTACCTGGGATCAACATCCCGTTCTCGGATAGGCGTTCCACCAGTCGAACGGCGCACAGAGCGGAGCTTAATGACACCGGAAGTAAGTTCCTTTAAGACTTGTGACATATCACCTCTAGCTGCTGGTTGAGGCGGTTTCGACGGAGCAAGACCCTGGAGAAAAAAGGCACAAATGTAAAGTGCGTACGCAATGCTTCACACAAGTGTTAAGTATTGCAAATCTGGAGCTTTTTCACTCATGCACAAGAACACCACACTCACTGATGAACTGCAAATTCAAACTCCATAAAGTACCCTCTTTTCCAGTAGTTTACTGCGCCAATCGAAGGTCAGTGGCGGTGGTGGTGGCGGTGGCGGCGGCGGAGGAGGAGGAGCAGGAGCAGGAGGAGGATGATGAACAGACTCCGAAAGCGTGGGTTGTGATGGTGGCACAAGAAGCCCCGAGGAGGCAGTTTCCACCACCCCCGAGTCACTGAATCCCTCGTCGACGGCAGTGGGAGGCGACGTTACAACGGCATTAACGCTGATCACACGATAACAGTCCCTTGCCGCTAATGTCTTAGCGCCAACAGTTGCGGTGGCAGGAAAACCCATACGGTCACGCTCCTGCTGAAACACCAATTCAGCTAGCTGGGCTCGAAGTTCAGCCAGCTCACACTCCAAGTTGGCAATCCTATCCGCGTCTCTCAGATCTGGATTTCAGAGAACGAGATTCCGGTAGTAAACGAATCGGTAATAACACTCTCCGCATTTCCCACCGTCAGACGCCAATATTCCAAAACAAGTAATTGGCAAATTATGAAACACTGCCCTCACCAAAAGGGGTCCTAGGCTGGAGCGAGTGCCTTCGAAGACAACCATCATGCTCATTGACAGAATCATTATCCATGTCCAAAACATGATTATCCGACACCACCTTCACATTGTAAGGAGACAGCACACGCTAATACAATTATAATGTGGAGTGGGAAACAGTTGATTGAACATCACTGTCCACCGGTGTCCACATGAATCTGTTCCCACTATGCACTTCATTCAAAAAAATCTGTTAAATTCATCAAAAGTACCCACCAGTCAAATCACCATAGAATCAGCATTGGTGCAGTCAACCCTGACTTACTGCAGCCTAGTTCTGCTGAAACAGTCAGTTCAGAAATTCCAAGTCATAACACGCTCTCTACATTGCCAGCACCTGGAAATTATCCGCACAGAACTCGGCAAACAAAAAACTGGAGATAACTTCAAACAGGTAGAACAGTTTCGAGGTAAAAATATGCACACGATTATAGACTAAAAGTTCTCAAGACGCAAAATCTCTTAAGCATCCGTCTCGTCGCCCATGCATCTGGACAAACGAAACATCACACGATTAGCCGCCAAGTTATGAAAGTGCAACCACAATAACAATCCATAATATCTTTCCTGATTTGCTAAATCGCATTACCGCCAGCATGGCCAAAGCAGGAAAACGGAGGACAGCGGCTAGAAAACACCCCACTCAAATGCGGTGCAACTAAATGCACAACAATGCAGTGTCTCACTATGCGCATCTTCCACTCCGACTGCCTGTTTGGCTGCCACCTGAGAGACCGATTCATCAGCCACCACCGCTGACGACGTCGATGACTGAGTACCGCACTCCTCGACAGCAGAACCTGGTTCACTCCCAGGCGGCTCACCGTAAAATTGAGTTGACTTGGCAAGCCACGCATCGCAACGCGCAATGATTCGTCGGTACCGCCTATTTT